GTAGCTGGCTTTACAAAATTTCTGGATCGAGCTTGTCTCTGGTTTGGATGCGTCCTCTGCTTGGGAGCACGCAATGGAGGTCGCTCATTAGATACAATACTCTCATCATCATTCGTACATGAACATACATCATCACTGACATATCCACTCACACTACCTCTCTGTCTCTCATTCGGGGTACTGGTACTCATGACTGGTCTGTGTCTCGGGACTCCAGGAGTTTGTGTACTAGGAGAATTTCTACTCATTACAGAGTCATGTATCTCTCTATTGAGACGAACTATTTCCCTCTCCAAAAAATCAACATCGGCTTGTAAACCTGACATGCTTAAACAAGTGACAAAATGATAGCAATGAAATTAAAAAAAATGTACTGATCGAAATCCCGACGCTGCCGCCAATTTTTGTAACGTGTTCTGGGTCCGATGATTTGGATCAGTATAAGGGATGTATAAAAATTATCAGATTTACAAAGAAAAATAATTACAAAGATTAATATGAAAACAACGACTCAATATATACATATATTCTAGGGTTATCTATCCCTTTATTATAGAAGCAAATTGAAAACAATGAACGATGATCGGAGTGTTTGACAGGGCTCTGTCCGGGGTATGTATCTCAGGGATCTGTCTCCAGCCGTGTTACTAGACGGCTGTATCCCTTTATACTACACAGGCTGCAGCCAGGTACAAGAAGTAAATAAATTTACACAGTAAATATCACTGTATATAAGCAAGGAAACACAATACAACACTGGGCAGTTGTATTAATCAGCGAAACGTCTTTAAATCTCATTCACCGTACCTGCTACTTTGCCACCTTCTCCGTTGACAGCTGATCACAGAATGACAAACTACCTCGGATGCGCTCTTATATATACTTGAGGACACCCGGACTAACCTCGGCATCCATCATAGACCCAATGATAAAACCCGATTTTAACTGAATCTCGAGCCCGATCGTCACACCTTCATTGAACATCAAGTTTTAAACCAATTGCAGCTGAACTCTTTGTCTGGAGTCTAGTGACTAGTCTTTGATACCTGGTAGGGGGACTGTTGTTTTGATGATGGCCTTATCTCTCGGTTTTCTCGGTAAAGACATTTCAGCAAACAGGAACCTGACCCCTCTGTAAGCGCCTTCTGGCCCTGTCCTCGAGGACAAGCGATGTTTCTGCAATTACCATATACGTATTGATATACAGTATATCACATTGAAAGTGAATATGTTAAAATGAATGGGCTCTTAGAGTAATATGATTTTCATCCCTCTTCACTTTACAATACTGTAAATCGTTTTAATTCCACGGTGTTAAAATTTCATGATTTCTCAAAAAGTACCAATTGCGATGGTTTTAATTTCATGATGCAAGAAATAAATTCAAAATTTCTTAGAAGCATTTATACGTTTCTTAAAACTAATATTGACATTCACGATGGGTTTAATATCGCGGAAAAATGATAAATCGCGAACATAGCGAAATGAAAACCATCGTGATTAATTGCCAATATACAGTATGTTGTTAAACTAATGTATGTAAGGTTTATAGATATCTTTATATGTCAATAAAAGCAGTGCACTTTGACAACAAAAAGTGTAAGAAACATAAATATCGATTTTAGGTATAAAGAAACATCTATCAGTAACATTAAACAATATTGTGAAAGTGGTTTGTTCATTTCATTCCTAACATTTAAAAGACAAAATACGTACAAACCCAATTCCCCATTGAAAGTTGTCACCTTCCTCGATATTGGTGAAGAAACACTTCTCGAACCTCTCAAAAGTACACTTAAGTTGAGCACCATCTACACAAAATAAAGATTAAAATGCATTTCCTTTATAAGATCAATCAATAGAACTAGAAGTTTTCTTTATATATTTCATTTGGTAAATTATTCAAATTATTTTGTTTTTATTTTTATTTTTATCTTATCAAGTAATATGTTTACAAACGGACAACTTTTTTTTATTATACTGTCATGAGGTTTATGTCATTATATACATGTACATAATTTATATGGTATGTCTAATGTACTCCTTAAGTTTCATACAAGATTTCGTTTTATCTGTAATTTCATCAATTTATATGGTATGTCTAATGTACTCCTTAAGTTTCATACAAGATTTCGTTTTATCTGTAATTTCATCAATTTATATGTTATGTCTAATGTACTCCTTAAGTTTCATACAAGATTTCGTTTTATCTGTAATTTCATCAAGATTTCATTAGAACATCAATTACCACGCCGGTATATTTCATGGATACTAACCCTTAGTAAATCCATATCTATATTGAATTCTACCAAAATTACTTCATGCTATGTTATGAGAGGGCTACCTCTGTATACATGTACCGGGGTTAGGGTTAGATATGTTACGTACCAATAACCTGTTCACAGTTGTCCCCCTTGTATCCGGGCTGACATACACACTTGTACAGACAGGCTCTCAGCGCCGAGGGAACACACACCCCATACTGACACGTGTTGTCTCTACAGACTATAAAATAACAAGATTATAAAGAAGTGCCAGGGCAAACTGGGTGATTTATTTAAGACACAATTTTCAAAAAATATTGATTATAATACCCTTTTTAAACAAAAGTAAAGTAGTATCAATGTCCTCCAAGAATAACATCATTATAACTCAGTTAGATAAACCGTGTTTTACAGTTATAAACGACCAAGAATCTAGAAGCATAGAAAATTAAATCAATATATGAATGAGTTCCACTCATTATTTAGGTAATTATATGTTTACCCTCTCTCTCTTTTTCAAAATGAAGCTTGAATCCTTTATGTGTAGCCCTGCTGCCTGCAAATTTGGTATCCATGGTAACGATCATTAACGTGGGTGAATCTACTGACGTCAGGAAGGTTTCTACAGCGACGTCACCACAACGACTGACCATAAATAGATCAAATTGTGATAAAGTTAGTATATTATCTCAAATATCACAACAACGACTGTCTATAAATAAATCAAACTGTGGCAAAGTTAGATATGACTTTAGTTATCATCACAATGACTGTCCATAGATAGATCAAATTGTGATCAAGTTAATTATCACTTTACATATCACCACCTCAACAGTCTATAAGAAGATCAAATTGTAATGAAGTTCAATATCATCAAAACGACAGTCTATCAAAAGATCAAAGTGATATAAAGTTAGATATCACTATAGATATCACCAAAACGACAGTCTATAAAGAGATCAGATTGTGATAAAGTTAGATATCACTTAAGATATCATCACAACGACTGTCTTTATGTCTTTAAATATATCAAATTGTGATAAAGTGAGATTATCCATTTCTTTGAGAATAAATTGTTTCCTCTTTACATTTTAAAACACATAAAACGAAATCCACAATACAGAGAACACAATTTATAAACCATTAATTATATATGCACTACTTTCATTTCACATATTTTGCAAATGCTTTTTCTCTATTTAAGTGTAAGGGGGAACTACCGGTGAGTTAATATATGAAGAAAATGTCCGTTTATGGTAGCCTTTTTTTAAATGTCAGAGTTAGAACATCTGATACCATATTTTTCATTCTAACTTACTTCATTCAGTAACTGAATTTCTAGAAAAATTGACTCAATTGTAGAGCTCTGCTTTTCAGTCATTGTTCAAGTGATTGAATCATTTCAAATCGTTCTGTGAATTTAATGTATTTCAATTCATTTTTCCGCGACGTATTAACTTCTATCATTTTGTTTACCAGGTCCTTCTCAAGGAGCAGCTAGCGGATGTGACTTGTCGATAAGGTATGTTTTACATCCATGACACCTGATCCCGCCTCTGATGTTCTTTAGAACTCCATGTTTGCTCTATATATGATTTGTATTGTTCCAATGGATTTTTCAAATTTTATATGTTTTTTCTCTCTCTCTGTTTTATGATGTTCGTATGGTGTTTGTATAATATTTGTATGATCTTTTGTGTGACTTTTGTAGGATGTTTATTTGATGTCTGTATGATGTTTGTATTGTGGTTCTTTGGTGGTTGTATGATGTTTGTATGGTGATTGTATGATGTTTATATGGTGGTTGTAAAATGTTTGTATGGTGGTTGTATGATGTTTGTATGGTGGTTTTATGATGTCTGTATGATGTTTGTATGGTGTTTATATGGTGGTTGTATGATGTCTGTATGATGTTTGTATGGTGGTTGTATGATGTTTGTATGGTGGTTGTAAAATGTTTGTATGGTGGTTGTATGATGTTTGTATGGTGGTTGTTTGATGTTTGTATGGTGGTTGTATGATGCTTGTATGGTGTATGTATGATGTCTGTATGATGTTTGTATGGTGGTTGTATGATGTTTGTATGGTGCTTGTATGATGTTTGTATGGTGGTTGAAAATGTTTGTATGGTGGTTGTACATGTATGATGTTGCTGCATTAACATTACCGGACGCCTGGTTGACCTGGGAGGTTGTACTGTATCTCAAGCCAATGATAACACCGGGCTGTTCTCGGGTTAAAGGCCATGTGGAGGTCATCTATGGTCATTTTTATGATGTATCCTTCCGGTGCCTGTAATCAGATACGACATGTCTTACATGTAATATATCAGAAACGTACTTCAAGACGAATTCAAAGTGCACCAAAACTTAAGTATGAAGTTTTTACATGTTAATCAAAGACACCTGCATATGATGTGGTATTTTACAAATGTACTAGAAAATAACCAGCATAAATATCTAAAACTGTTCATAACAGTTCATAAAAAAATATTATAAGTAATTACATCATCATATATGTTTATTAACTTCATACAGTCAAGAAAAAGGATCTAATATCGAGTGTATGTAAACACAACATGAATTTTTAAATCCGTAGGTTAATGCTGTTTATTTTTATCTACCATGATAACATTAAGATTTTTTTCAATAGATTTCAACGCACACAGTGTGGTTCCTTGGAAAGTGTTATAGTTCCTGATCAAACTATGTGGACACATATAGGGGGAGTAGATTGATAGATTAATTGTATATTGTTTTACGTCCCTTTCGAGAATTTTTCACTCATATGGAGACGCCACTACTTGCCAGAGGAGAGCTGTAAATTTTGTCCTATAATCAGCATTTAGGGCCATTGAGTAAGGAGGATCTTTTTTTTGTGCCAGCACCTACTGCGACGCAGGACATCGGTTTATACGGTCTCATTCGAAAGAACGCTTTCTACATCCAACAGTGGGATTCGAACCCGCAACATAAGGACTGACTCCTTTCTTCGCGACTCCAGAGCAGACGTTCTAACCACTGCGCCATGCGGGCGACTATAGGCGGAGTAGAGAAATATTCCTATAAGAGGAATAGTTCGAATACCGTCTTAAACATTTATAAAGGATTTTTTGTCGGAGGCTTTAAATTTGTTACGGTCCTAGAGTCTTGTCCTTTTTATGTTTAAATTGTAATGGTTAGGTCCGCTGCTATCTATGTAAAAAATTCACTTAATATGTAAATTTGAAAATACTTTGATGGGGTAAAAATTTCCACTTTTCATAAGACCTATTTGAGAACTTTAAATAACTTAGAAAGACATTAAAAAGTGTATAATGACAATTGTTGTATGAACATATTTAATTTTTAAGCCCCATTTTGTGACTTTTTGAATTTAATAATAAATTATAGAGTTATCCTTCCTAGCTGAAGATATAAGTAACTTAATTTCACACAAACTTATCAGAGATATATGATGAAGGATCATGTAAACAATCATAATGATTACTTTAAATTATTACCTCTTCAAAGCAATGTGAAAGTATTGCAAAAATGACATTCAGACCAAAACTCAAATTAAATATAACCAATTATATTTTTTAAAAGTTAAAGAATATGCATTGACCATTTTATGATTAACTTGTAGCCAACTGCAGGCAAATATGAGAACACAGTTTTCTTTTATGTTTTGAAAACAGTGTACGAAATGAATTCTTTGACTTAAAAATGCTTTATTCAAACATTCTGAATACTATACATTATTTATGTATCATGTATTATAAGAAATACCTTGACTGCCCATCTACAAATTTTTCCCTGTCCAATAGGGCCCGGATAATTAGGGGAAGTAACTGTGACATCTTTGTTTGGCTCCAATACAAGGTCATTCTCCTTAAGATAAACGTATCCACCACAATCTATAAATAATTAAAGATTACCTTAGTGAAGGATATAGAAAGAACGAACAGTATTCAATATCCAAGTCAATAAAACAATACAAAATAGAAGCAGAGAAAACACAGACCTCTTAGACATCAGAGGGGGGTTTATTAGCCATGGAGGAGTGAGCATAATCAACAGATCAAAGGGTAAATCGTGTTCTTAGCTAATAACATGTAAATTCGCTTTGGAGAACTGCATATTTTTCTCATACATTTTAAATACATATGAAAAGTCCTGCTAAGTTTAGTTCAGTTATTCCTATAAAAAGCCAAATTCAGACTCTTTTAAAAGGTTTAAATAAAACATTTTGGTAATATGTGAACTGTTCTAATTATACAATGTTACGGAAAACGTTTCCAAAGAAATATCAAGATCAAACTTTTCATTCAAATAAAGGAATTTAAAAAAAAACATATATTTTTTAAAACTTAAAATTTTAAGCGGGAGACAATTACTCTTTAAATTTGACTGTAAGACATATTTCTGAAAACTTTTTTTAGCTGTATTATATTTGATTTGATGGCAAGACTTGTGACAAATTGTGTATTTAGCTATATTATTTTATTTGATTGTAAGTCTTTTGACAACTTTTGTATTTATCTATATTATTTTACTACCTGGATCTGTTTATTAGTATTTATATTTATTTTAATTTATATCAGGAAGAGGAATAAATATTCATTCGATGAGTTGATATTCGAATACAAATTTATGATTCAATATTCGTTTTTAAGTATACAAGCTTTAAAAGAGAGAAAAACCTGGCAAGTTTTATTAGAAATTGAATAAAGTTTGTACAAATTAAAAAAAAAAAACACTCCTCTTGGATTACCTTAAAGGTGTGAAGAGTGTATCTATTAGAGTAAATTATTCATGTGTTCACTTAATTAGTATTATAATAGTTTCCAGTACTTACAATCAGCTTATATTGTTGTAAGGACATAGTTTTACAGTAAACACACAGACCCCTTGTTTATGTAAATATCATTAAAAATCATTATCAGGAAATCATAATTAGCAAAAGTAATTGCTTTTAATATTTCACTGTTACATAATTGTTCTGCTTGGTATAAATTTGTAGGAGTTATCAGTGTAGACTTTAGTAAGACGATCAATAATTAATCTGGAACATACTAAAGAATCTTTTTAATTTTCTAACAATCATTACATTTGGGATGTATACTATTCAATATTTCTTTTAAAAAATATAATTGCAGTGTATTTACCGAACTCCACATGAGTTTTTATTCCAAATAATGGCATAAACTCTTTACTACTTGACAGGAAAGTGAAGATATATATTTAATAATGCAAGATGTATTTATTTTATCGAATATATTCGAATATCAATTATTGACAATTTTGACATACCTAAATTATATATATAAAATACATGGTTACTGTCTTGAAATATAAGCGATATTTGGGCGAGGGTAAGAAAACGTGATAGAGGGCGAGGCTTGCCGAGCCCTCTTACGTTTTCGAGCCGAGCCCAAATATCGCTTATATTTCAAGACAGTTATCATGTATTCTGTTTATCCTGCAACAAAATTTTACATTTGAGCGTCCAAAACAAGATAATTCCGATAGATTTAGGCACATCTCTGCAGTTGAAACTATGACGCCATGGCGTAAACATTGCAGTATACGTGACGTCACAATGCTTTTGGAACGACGGAATACATGCACGAGGCTTTATTAGGGCAATGACCGGATAAAGCTTTGGTTTATTAGGTTACCTTTATTAGGTCAATGCAAGGGGTAGTTGCAGGATAAATATTATTCTACTACCTGTATCCGTAACCACCGTCTGACATGTGATCCCAGTAAACCCCGCCGGACACGTGCACTTACACGTGACGTTCACGTAACCGCCATTTTCACAGACAGGGGGAGAGGTACAATGAGCTGAAAATATTGAGACATCAGACTACATAAATTTTTTAATGTCCTTTAGATTTTTATCTGTCTTAAAATTGTATTTTTTCGCAAAAGACACAATTTGCCAAACAAGCAATATTAAATGAGTGATCCTTAGAATTCACTATAACATGTAGCTACACGACAAATATGTTATTTTTTCATCCATTTTATCACATCAATAAAAGCAAATCAATAAAAGCTAATAATGATTTACAAGTCAACGTATATGTTTATTTACTTTATTATCAGTGTCTATTAGCGGTGTGATCATAATGATTTACAAGTTTGAGCGTATATTTCTAACGAGTACATTCGAAATGATTTTTTAAGTTGAAGGTGCATTAATAATGATTAACTAATAAGTGTACTTGTTACTCCTTTATTGATAATGGTTTACAGTTAGCCTGTATATTTATTACCGGTGCATTAGGTAAGCCTGTATATTTATTACCGGTGCATTCATACTGATCCACGACATCCTTTAAGTCGTAGTAGGAGAGGATCTGGCCGTTTGGGGCGTGAAGGAATTTCAGGTTTTTGTCTCTTAGTTCTACCGAACTGCCAAAATTCTGAAAATAAATGCACATAATATTGTATGTAAAAGACGCCTCTTAATTCTACTGCATTGCTAAAAGTCTGGAAATATATACACATAATATTGTATGTATAGGGTAAGTCTTTGTATAAAGGAGAAGTCTACCAGTAAAATTTATTATACCCCCTCAAACAAAGGATGGGGGTAGATAGGAATCGGCTTGTCCGTCTGTCCGACCGTCTGTCTGTGCAAACGTGTCCGATCCATATCTTTGTTACGGAGGTACATTAGTAGTATAACGCGCCTAGATAGGCGGGTCAACTGAGTGCACTTTTGGGGCTGAGGGGGATAGGCGGGTCAACTGAGTGCAGCCCCTGGGGGGATAGGCGGTTCAACGGAGTGCAGCCCCTGGAGGGGATAGGCGGGTCAAGGGAGTGCAGCCCCTGGAGGGGATAGGCGGGTCAATGGAGTGCAGCCCCTGTGGGGGATAGGTGGGTCAATTCAGTACATATAGCCCCCTAAATATAGGGTGTGTTTAACACTGTGTTTACATTGGTACGCTGCTACTACGATTCACAACGCTGCTACTACGATTTTGGCAACGATTCAAGTTTGTTTAGGGCCGTGTGCAAAAAAAAAATGTGCTTACCTATGCATTGTGACGTCATCCACTGTATAAATACAGGTTTTCTCCTACTTTCAGCTCATTCTACAGTCAGATCCAGCTCCCTGCCTGTGGGGGGTCATGGATTCTACTAGAGAAAAACAGTTACATGCTCAGCGATTATTAAAATGGAAAAAAAGGGAAAGAGAATTAGATCGAAT